AACACCCACTCAAAATCTTATAACATTACGGGTCTATTTTACACTCTTAGATGGCGGACGTGAAGAAAAAGATTTTGAACTGAACGATAGAAAATACTTCCCAAATTGTATCTGCTTTTAAATTCTTCGTCGTGAATATAACATTAAATTTCGCTTAGTGGGTCTATTCGGCACGGCGGCCAATGATTGGCCTATTGTAGCCTGCCCCGGGTGATTATGATGATGGAGAATTTGGTGGAATGAAGATTGGCAAGGGAAACCGAAGTACTAGGAGAAAACCCGCCCCAACGCCATTTTCTCCACCATAAATCCCACCTGACCAGACCCGGGATCGAACCCGGACCGCCGCGGTGAGAAGCCAGCGCGGCCGAATATATATATTTATTATAGTCGTCCAAGAATATCAGAACTTTTCGACGTTTTCAAAAATTTCCCTATAATTCGAGTAACAGCCTGACGACTATATAGAGTTTCCATTTGCTAATAACTAGGCTTTAAGAGGTAGAGTAGGTATGGAGTCGTAAGCCCCACGTATTCTTAACTCCTGTAGGAGATGAAAGTGATTGATGATCCACGTGCTCCTCGCCCCTGCATTCCCCTGGGATGAGCCTCCAGCATGAAATGGACAGGAACAAGTTTAGGTCTATTGCTGAACACCCTGCAGGAACTAAGCCCCGGGCGCTCGATTCCTAGGGACCTCGCACAGATAGGCTTAAGGAATAATGCGGCTTCAATTTCAATATTTTCTTTGCATTTGCATCCGATATTTGGACCAGCTGTGGTCCATGTCAATGTCACTTGAGAATGGAGTTTGGAATATTTGACTTCCTTTTCCGCCCAAGTTGGTACACCATCGCGTTTCCCATGGGAAGGTCTGCTTTTCCTCCGATGCTGCCAATTCCTAGCATTCTCCAGATACAAGCCTTCTGAATACTTGGTTAAATATGCTGTCAGATGTGAAACGGACATTTCTGTCTCTCATCTAGGGGCCGGATTACAAGTGAAGCAGCTTTCATATTTCCTCTTTGAGTTCCACAGACATTTCGAGCTAGTAATGAAATATGTACGGAATTTTGATATGAAATTCATATTTTTACGACTAAAAAATTCCAGCCTAAATATTCAATTACGAGGCAGTGAGAAATAAACACGCATTTCGGAAAGCTAACATTAACTATGTAACAAATGAACTACCAAACCAACACCCCCCTGTGGGCATTTTAAAAATATTTGTATTCATGTTTTCAAAGATCCAGACAGAAAATAAAAACACCTGATTGAAAAATGTCTGTTGCTACATAATTAATTTAAGCGACAAGAATTATCATTCTACGGTATTCGAGTATGAGACAGTAACAAGATGGAAATAATCAATTACCAAAAATAGGACAGCCAAGATGGAGTAGGGTAATGAAGTCCACCTAAACAATCGTGTAGGCCATAATTCTGAAAAACTGATAGTTGCTCAGGAAATTCCATACATGTTTGGAACATANTACCGGTTCTCACGGTCTCTTCGCTTGCAGATTTCTTATATATTTTTTCTTCTACCCTGAAGATGGAGGCGATACGTTCCTCCGAAACGTCGGTTAACACCACATATACACGGTGCCAAATCCCAGAAGACTGCTTTCTTCATATATATTCACTATTTCTCAAGAACTCACCAATGGAAGTACTCCTGAGCCAGTCGAACCCAGTCCATGTCATATATTACTATTTTAAGAACCATTTCAATAGCATCTTCCTATGAATGCCCAGTAAGTTAATGGCCTAGTTTCTTGATGTACATATAAACCTAATTGTGCATGCGGTTTTCATTCCCTCACGCAATCTGCATATTCTGTCCTCTGTTCCTGAATTTGATATGATCACCATAGCGATCCTTGGGTAAAGGGTATAAATTATTAATCTCCTCATAAAGTAATTTGCTCCACATTTTACTTGTTACATTTTATATACGAATATTCTCCTCAGCACCATAATCCTCAGTACTCAGAATCTATGTTTTGGCGAAGAAGCAAGCCTCATATCCATCCAAAACCGTAGATTTTTATATATATTTTAATGTTCATGTTCATAGGCTAGGACCAGATAATCATTTCTTAACTGGATGGCAGTAAGCAATAGCAGAATTTAATTGGCCCATTTTCATTAAGAACGTAACAATGATATCCTACTTGTCCACAAAGAATTTATTAGTTGAGCTTACGTTAAAATACTGTCATACATTCTGGTGGCTAGGTACGAAGTCATATCTAAAGTACACTTGGTGAGTTTTTGGTCACTCTTCATCGTTTCTTTTTATCAACGTTTCGGCGACTGCTCCCTGTCTCCGTCCTTAGGTAAAAGCCGACTAAGTTGTGCCTCATAGACACTACTAGTCATATCTCCTGTCCGGATGCAGGATGGAGACAGAGTTCAGTCTCCAAAACTTCGATTTTAAATAAAAAATGATGGATAGTATGAAAAATCCAATGACTGTATTAATATACGATCGTAATAAACTTATAGTTCATATTTGCACGTATGAAGTAATTATTATTAACTGATTAGCTGTTGAGGAAGGCTAAGGAAAACGCATATGTTACAAAACAGACATAAACGTGGATCTACACGACTCATAATGCCTCGATTTTACAAGATCTGACCTTGGGCATATCTGTGTGCGTGTTGCAACGGCTACAAACTGCGACTTATACGCTGATTCCTGAAGCATTAGCGCCTAATGATGAACGGTGTCATGTGGAGATGACGCTGAAGAACGACAGACTGACAGAAGACAAGCAATCTGCGTCCCTAATGACCTCACCACCCAGCAACAGGTGCAATGCAACTTGAGCGTCTGCCAGAGGTCGTTCTCAGTACGTTATGTGGGTACAGCAAATCCCAGACGATGCAGATGGTGCAGCTTTGGGCGTATTCTTTAACTAAATATTGCTGGGAGAACAAATCCTAGGAGAGGAAGAGCCTCGTGAGAAATGAAGCAAGCATGGGAGACATAGTACGTGCATACAAGCGCACAGCCCGAAACTCTGATGAAAAGAAACAACTTGGAAGATTTGCGGGTAGGAAAATCGTCAACATGTTCACGAAATTCAGTCGAATGTGATCCATATTTTCACGTCTTAAACTGTTTATCGTACTACACAGTCCGTCAACAATGCAACAAACAACATGTTTCGGCCCTAAATGGCCATCTTCAGGTGTGTCTTACTATGCTAAAACTCTTACACTGCACTAATATTGTCCATTCGTCACACATGCGACTGCGTATGATTTAAAACGTCATATTCGTAGTCAATAGTAAGTCCAAATTGAGGCCGTAGAGCTGAAGGAAAGAACGTATCGCATATTGCTTCTTTTAATAGCTGTGTTCGGTCCAAAGTTTCCGGTTACAGTTTATATTGTGTAAAAAACAGGTAAAGCTATCCCTGCAGACACCATGAAGGACCATAGGTTTGTAAGACGTCGAGGCTCCCACATTTTCTAGACAATCGGCTCACAGAAGGCGGTGAGCTTGTCAGCCTTAGCCGCCCGCCATTCACCCCGAAGAATATTCCTGGTGCTCACTTCTGTCAGAGGCTGATTCGACCCCAGGGCCACAGTGCAGCTTGAGGAATTAGGTCAACTGAAAAATCCAATGACTTCATCGGAAATCGGACCCGCGATCTTCCGGTTTGTAGCATAGTGCCTCAACCAACTACGTTACGGAGTTGTGTACCTTAAGATATCCTCTTATATCTAACGATGTATCCGCTTTTCATTTCCGTTTCCCGACTACATTTCCGTGCTGGAAGTTACTACAACTTTGGCACATAGCGTCACTGGGTTTAGCTATACACTGACGTCGATTTCTGGCAAATATGTCACTGTGTATAACATTCGGTAGTGAATGTTCAGAGCGGGAGATTATTGTGTTCCTTCGGTTTTACTGGCATAGCAACGAATTAATTTTAATATTGTAATTGAACTCTCTTAGAGGTGTTAGACAGAAGTAATACCGTGCAATGTGAGAGAGATGGGGTAACGGTGCACAGAAAACCAACTGATGTTACCTTACTGCAGTGTGAATCAGAACACAATGAACTGCTTTCCGTTTCGGAATATTTGGGAAACTTTCCAGTCAATATTTCCTACATTCCCCCTTTTACCTCACAGTGTTACAAAACTTCTTAAAATCTGAAGTATATTCTTGGACCTAGGCGAATTATATGAAATGAACAAAGCACCAAAAAAAAAAGTACATGAAATTCTGAAATTTTACTGTCAGGGTTCCCTTATAAATAATGGCTTTGACAACAAATAGCAATATGTGCGATTTGAGGTCCTGATGCCGGTGTCTACATGAAGAGTACTGTCTTCTGGGATGTAACGCCGATCAGTCTGGCAGAAGTTTACAGACGCTTTAATGCCTCTATTTTCTGAGTTGGAAGAGTGAACCACGCAACAAGCAGCAATAGCTCTCTCTAAGTATAAAAATAATTACGGAAGTTGTAAGTCACATTTAGTGCGAGTACATGAGACCATGGCATTAAATTAGCAGATGATTATACATTTTATATGGATGTAGCACACATGGCACCGCCTCTGTAGTCTAGTGGTCAGAGATACTGTTATAGATCCAGAGGTCCGTGTTCTATTCCCGGCGCTACCAGATTTTCTGAGAAGTAGTGGGTTTGGAACGGGGTCCACTCAGCCTCGTGAGAGGATAACTGAGGAGCTATTTCAAGGAAATAACGGCTCCGGTCTATAAAACCGTAATTATCGGCAGTGGGGATTCGTTGCGCTGACGACGAGACACCCTCCATCCGCAGAACTTGGCACTAACTTCGCCGACAAGCAACGCTCGCTCGGTCGGTATAGTTCGCTTGCGGACTCAAAGACGGAGTTTCTTTTTTGTAGCACGCATGGAGGAGACGAAGAATGAATACGGAAATTTTGTCGTAAAATATTAATAGTTTTATGTTCTAATGATATACACGTAAACATCCCCCTACCTGTCCAGGGCGATGGCTACAAGATGCAGAATGGAGGCTGTACAGCAGAGCACGTCACTAGATGTCCACATGTCGCAGAGTTCTGGTCCCAGCGTCCACTGCTTGCTGACCTCGTACACGGCGCTGAGAGGCATGACGAGACAGGCCACCAGCAGGTCAGCCACGGCCAGGGAGAGGATCAGGTAGTTCGCCACGTTCTGCAGGTTGCGTTCCAGCAGGATGGCAGCGATCACAAACACGTTACCTGCGCAACACAACACACACTCATTTTCTTAGCGCTTTTGTGTCATAATATGTGATATAAAAGAGAAAAGAATATGAAATAGTAGCTTAAAATAAGGAAGGAAACGTCATCTTAAAGGACAAAGCCGTAGATGGGAGAATAACATTAAAATAGTGTGAAATGGATTTATGTGGCTCAGTTTATGGCCCAATAATGGGCTCTTGTGAACACGGTATGAACCATACAAGGATCCATATAGGGCAAGGGGTAATCTGACCACCTCATTCTCAATTTCGGTAGGAAGACCTGTTGAAAAACGGACATTTCAAAGACCTCAATGAGAAGAGGATAACATTAAGCTTTTACCGGTTCTCACGGTCTCTTCGCTTGCGGATTTATTATGTTTCTTTCCTTCTACCCTGAAGATGGAGGCCATACGTTCCTCCGAAACGTCGGTTAACGCCACATATACACGGTGCCAAATCCCAGAAGACTGCTTTCTTCATAGTCACCGCCGTGAAAGCCTCAAATCTTACAATATTAATACAGTTTGTAAGGAAGAGATGTGGACAGAACTGGCTTAGGATTATACCCAATGGAGGGCTTTGGTGTTTGTAATTACGTCTCTGAATAGATTACTGAGTTTACTTTAAAGGTGAAATACTTGAACTTAACAGGACAATACATGCATCCATATCCTTAAATTTTGGAATCGAACAGAATTTGATGATGCATGTGGAAGGCGCAGAAGAAGCAGAACGTCATAGACACACAAGAACACTGTTCCTGCAGGAACGGCTGGGGTGTCAGCTAATAAATCAGTGGGTGCTGTCTGTAACGTGCGGCCATCAGGATAAACCACGGCTGTCACCCTGACGACCCAAGCGGTCAATCAAGGCTGGGTCTCACCACACTGCTTAAAGACGATGTGGCTGGCATATCGAGCTGCAGCACAATGCTTCGTAAACCTCTCAGACCCTGAACATATAGCACGAGGAACTCATACAGAGTTATAGATACGAAACCTAAAGGGAGACTTAGGCCTAGGTGGGAGGATAATATTAAGAAGAATCCTAAATAAATATGGTATGAGATTGTGGACTGGATTCAATTAGTTCAGCATACAGCCCAGTAACGGCGTCTTATTAACGCTGCAATTAACTGCCGAGCTCCAGAAGGTTAGAGAATTTCTTGACAACCTGGGAAATCATCATATTCTCAAGTAGGGCTCTGCTGATGTTTACATGTTTACATTTTGTGACAGTCACGTGCATGACGATACAACTTACAAGACAAACATATGTAATTGTCTGACTAGCTTCTGACAATGACAATTTCAGTAACAAGTGTGTTTAAATATTTTACTTGCGGTGTACTGTGTCATGATTGTGTCACGCAGAAACCAGTTTTATCATCTATGCGCTTACGTTCAAACTGCTAAAATACAATCTCAATTCTATTTTGATCAAGCAGATTGGCCTACTGCCGATCACAGTGGCCGCACGGTCTAATGCATGAACCGTCTTCGCCCTCTCGAACACTGGAAACGTGGGTTCGAATTCCACTCGAAGCATGGATGTCTGTATTATGTGCCTTTATTCTGTGTCTGTGATGTTCTGTGTGTACACAGCGGCATTGCGACAGGCTGATCCCCCGTCCAAGGAGTCCTACCGACTGTGTATAAATTAAGAAACTGAAAAAGCAGCCAAGGTCCACAAGGACTGTGGCGCCATAGACAGACAGATAGATAGATAGATAGATAGATAGATAGATAGATAGATAGATATAGTGATAACGCTCTAGACTTATATTTGAGAGCTTCACCCTTAGCATCTCAGCCGGAATATCGCCTATTCTGGCTGAGGCTTATCATCGTTTTCCTCAGTCCCTCCAAGTAAATGTCGGGATTGTAATTCGATTAGGTCACGATGGCTTCCTTCCAATTTCTATCAAATTCACTATTTATCTATTATACCAGTATTCGACGCAATATAGTTTTAAATACTAACAGAGTCATAAAATAAACCACAAGAAGTAAATGTGCTTTTACTGAAACAGATTTCACAAGGAGATAATTACATAAAACATAAACGAAAAACGTCTCTTAGGTTTAAAGATGCAGTTTCGAGGTTCGGGTCATAAGCGTACGGTGTCTAATGAGATGGAGAGATCACGAATGGTAAGTAGCAAAGGATTTGGAAGGAAGCGATCGTGGAATGTTTGAAGGCACTGTCCCGGAAATCGTCTAAAGCGGGGCCGACGAAAATCACGAGAAAACTGTATAAGGAACCTGGTCGTTTAAGATGAAGTCGCTGAAACTGATCGCTTGCTTGTGAAGAGCAGAGATTCCAGTAGATAATTGAATTGTACTAACACGTTTCTCGTATTTAATAAAATTGATGCTTACTTCTTGGCAGCATATAACTATATTCTGTTGTATAAACTTCAGAGTTCTCACATGAATGAGAGTAAAAATTGGTAAATGTTCATGAAGAAATGGAGAAGAGCATCAGAGTACTCTTAAAAATAGAAGTACTTCCTGTGTTATGACAACGTATCGCTATATATTTTTATTTCATAGAGAGTTGAAAAATAAAATAATAATATTCCAAAGGATATGAGGAGCAAATAAATTCTTAACTTTTCTAGTATTATTTGGCATAGTTTCTCAAGCTCTAGTATTTCCGTTAGAAGACGAAGAATTGATTTACCACCCAACTACAAACTACTTTATTCAATACACATCCTATATAATTCAACAGGGGTTTAGTGAGAATAATCATTCCAATGTTTCTGTGTGATTTTCGTGAGTTTCACATTTATTTTCCGCTTCTTTGTAGTAAAGTTCGCGTGAATAGGGATATATTTGAGTCAATTTCAGAGTAAATCTTCAGAGGTACATTACACTGAACGGAAAAAGGATTAAAACTTGGAAATGGTTTTAATGGTTGAGAAGCAATTCAAACATCCTTCAATGGAACCGCATCTTGAATACGTACGGGAAAACACAGACACTAAAATCAATACATTCATCAACTTTAAAGTTCCAATCCTCTCTGCTGGTTCCATCCAGCGGATCTCCCGGCATTAGGCATTTGTTTTACACTCAGAGGAATCTTTTGATGACCTAAAATTACTGAGGCTTTCAAATTTTATCCTTCATCTGATCTACAAAGTAATGTAAGTTTTCTGTACCATCGCGTTTGTGTGTCCATCCCCTTATCGGAGTTTCAGAATGTTAAACCTAGGCCCTGACGCCAGAGACAACAACCAAGCTGGTTTCAGTCTAGAACGCTTCTAACGTATATTCGGTAGGTGACCATTTCGAATTTCGCCGGACTCCGACTATTGTGTCATGTTTCTCGTGGTTTCTCTTGAGTCCTCGAGGAAATTTTCAGGATACTAACATAGACCAGAACTGAAATTCTTCCACATCCACTTGATATTTTATTATTCTGAAATTATCCTACCATGCGACGCTATGTGGTCTGAGTTACTGATAGGGTCGTTATGAAAACTACAAAACGACAACCATGAGAAGAACTTTAATATTTTTAACTCCATCGGCAATAATGTCAGCGTGGCACTTGAACGAAAAGTCGATATCAAGGTAATGTCTTGCAAAATGTAACTCAACATGGCTGCAGTGCGAATTCCATATTTTACTTCCGGTTTTATGACACTAGCTAATAAACATTAACTCTTCAACCTCAAAGAATATAAGACAAAGATGGCAATGTAAAACGTACTGAAATACTGTAACATGATATTAAAATGGAAGGGCAAAACCGAACTGCAGATTTTCAACTTCTGTTTCTAATGACACACGACATTTTAAAAAAGACATGAATACCATGTAGGCGTAATTACAAATCAAAACAAAATTCCGCTTCTGTCGATAAAATGAAGTAGGAATTTTTTTACTAGATCGGGAAAGCCAATAACAAAAAAATTAATAACGCGCGGTTTTTATTTTCTCCTTTGCTTTTTTATGCAGACATACGAACCTGCATATCACTTAAAAGGCAATTAAAATAATGACAGTATTTAAATGGGATTGAGTTTCAATCAATAATAAGTTTCCCGCGTTGTGGTCTGTCAATACACATAGCTGTGACGACACGGAAAATCTTCGTGTCCATATTCTGAATTAGCACGTCAGAAGTTTTTTTTATGTTGTTAAATCGGTTTCACTAATATTATTTATCTCGGAAGAAATATACAAAATTCGAAATGATTATCTCTTCTTAGGCTCTAAGCTCGACATGCACTGACAGGATCTCACCTATATACTGATAATCGAGAAAACTCTCTCTCTCTGAGATCGGACACGTAAAATCATGGATCCTGTCCTGTTGCGCCATCATGAATAACCACATCCCATTTCTTTCTTCTGCTGCCCGGAGTATTTCAGAACGCTTGGGTGTCACAGCGCGGAGTTCTATGTGAGGACAGAATCTCTTGGCGGGGTTCCTGAATACAGTAAGTAACTTTCGGACTCCCTAATGCTCCTACATTTTTCTGAATAAGTAAGCGGCTGTCAGGTTCTCAAGAAGAGCTCTGTTCCATGTAGTTAATAGGCAATTTCAGTCGAATGTCTGTTCAACTTCACAGTAAATATATGTAAGTGCAAAACACTGAAAAATAATAATAATTTTTACTCAGAAAACGTAGAAGCAACGTAAATATTAAAATTGTCATTAAATAAATAAGTACAATATAAAGATAAAAGTAAAACTGTGCCCCAAAATGATTTTATTGTTACATGTACACCCATTGCTAGGCAACAGGTTGGTAAATAAGTGCCCGCGAAGACAGCTTCATGGTAAATAGTGCGTTGTTAGGTTACGCAGCAATAGAGGAGGTTGTGTTTTCTATGTCGTCCGAGCCACTCCCAGCGCTGGCAACGGACCAATAAACTCACAGTCTGAAAAGTGACACGTGTTTTCTGCGTTGTCCGTGCCGTGGCTACATAACACGAGTCCGCTTGCAGCTAAAAGGGTTCCAGAAGAGCTTTTAGT